GTTTCCCGGGCTGTTGTTTCTCCACCTCCGCAACAGGTGGACTTCAACTCCCAGAATCCCCCAGCCAGGAGGCTTTAAGAGGGGTGATCTCCCACAATCCCCCAGCAGGCATGCTTTAAGAGGGCTGGACTTCAATTCCCAGAATCCTCCAGGCAGCATGCTTTAAGAGGGGGGGACTTCCACTCCCAGAATCCCCCAGCCGGCATGCTTTAGGAGGGGGAAATTCCACTCCCAGAAAACCCCAGCCGGCCTGCTTTAAGAGGGGGGAATTCCACTCCCAGAATCCCCCAGCCGGCCTGCTTTAAGAGGGGGGACTTCCACTCCCAGAATCCCCCAGCCGGCCTGCTTTAAGAAGGGGGGACTTCAACTCACAGAATCCCCCACCCGGCATGCTTTAAGAGGGGGGGGACTTCCACTCCCAGAATCCCCCAGCCGGCCTGCTTTAAGAGGGGAGGACTTCCACTCCCAGAATCCCCCAGCCGGCATGCTTTAAGAGGGGTGGACTTCAACTCCCAGAATCCCCCAGCCGGCATGCTTTAAGAGGGGTGGACTTCAACTCCCAGGATCCCCCAGCTGGCATGCTTTAAGAGGGGGGACTTCCACTCCCAGAATCCCCCAGCCGGCATGCTTTAATGGGTGTGCACTTCAATTCCCAGAATCCCCCAGTTGGATTGCTTTAAGACAGGGTTCTTCAAACTTGGCCCTTTTATGACTTGTGGACGTCAACTCCAAGAATTCCTCAGCGAGCGTACCTGGCTGAGGAATTCTGGGAGTTGACGTCCACAAGTCATAATAGGGCCAAGGTTCAAGTCCCCTGATTTAAGAGGGGGGGAACTTCAACTCCCAGAATCCCTCAGCCAGGATGCTTTAATGGGTGTGGACTTCAATTCCCAGAATCCCTCAGCCAGGATACTTTAAGAGGGGTAGACTTCAACTCCCAGAATCCCCCAGCCGGCATGCTTTAAGAGGGGTAGACTTCAACTCCCAGAATCCCCCACCTAGGATGCTTTAAGAGGAGTGGACTTCCACTCCCAGAATCCCCTAGCCACCATGCTTTAAGAGGGGGAGGACCAACTCCCAGAATCCCCCAGCAAGGATGCTTTAAGAGGGATAGACTTCAACTCCCAGAATCCCCCAGCTAGGAGGCTTTAAGATGGGTGGACTTCAACTCCCAGAATCCCCATCCGGCATGATCCAAGGGCCTTCTCCCTGGGGCTGTGGACGGTTAGCAAGAGTCTTTTGATCTCTGCCCTGCAGCAGCTTCCTCTCGGTTGCCAGATCGGAATAGCTTTAGCAGCTGGCGCTTCCCGAACTCGATACCGTGACTCAGCTCTCTGTGAGCAGGCCGAGGCCGTGCCAAGATGAACAGGAGATCCTGTCTCCGTTTAGGAAACAGCCCCAAGGCAGGGGGACGATCTGGTGGATCCCACCCCTATTCCCCAAAAGAGGAAACAAGATCCTCTTGATTTGCAAACCGGAGGACAATCTGGAGTAAGTCCGGAGTAGATTTCAGGGGGGGTAAAGCAGGAGGAGGAAGAAAGGGTTTTGTTTTGTTTTTTCATGAACAAAAAGAAACTTTATTCAATTTGAATGAAGCTGGGTGAAGGGAGAAATAAAGAAAAGGAAAGAAAGAAAGAAAGAAAGAAAGAAAGAAAGAAAGAAAGAAAGAAAGAAAGAAAGACATGACGAGAAAATGGCGAGAAAAACAGGTTATAGTCCAGCCAGCCGCCCACACAGCGGAAAGTGAATAGGAAAAAAAACAAACTGGTTGGTGAGGAAATGTACTCTCTAAAAGCGTGGGCAAACTTTAAGGCATGGGGATTTCAACTCCCAGAATTCCCCATCCGGCATGCTTTAAGAGGGGTGGATTTTTTGCAGTTCACAAAGCATGCCGCCTTTGTGGAAGTCCCCCCTCTTAAAGCACGCCGACTAGGGGATTCTGGGAGTGGAAGCCCCCCCTCTTTAAGCAGGCCTGCTGGGGGATTCTGGGAGTGGAAGTCCAACCCTCTTAAAGCAGGCCAGCTGGGGGATTCTGGGAGTGGAAGTCCAACCCTCTTAAAGCAGGCCGGCTGGGGGATTCTGGGAGTGGAAGTCCCCCCCTTAAAGCATGCCAACTGGGGGATTCTGGGAGTGGAAATCCCCCCCTCTTAAAGCAGGCCAGCTGAAGGATTCTGGGAGTGGAAGTCCCCCCCTCTTAAAGCATGCCAACTGGGGTATTCTGGGAGTGGAAATCCCCCCCTCTTAAAGCAGGCCAGCTGAAGGATTCTGGGAGTGGAAGTCCTCCCCTCTTAAAGCAGGCAGGCTGGGGGATTCTGGGAGTGGAAGTCCCCCCCTCTTAAAGCAGGCCGGCTGGGGGATTATGGGAGTGGAAGTCTATCCCTCTTAAAGCACCCTGGCTGAGGGATTCTGGGAACTGAAGTCCCCCCCTCTTCAAGCATGCCTACTGGGGGATTCTGGGAGTGGAAGTCCACCTTTCCTTACAGCATGCCAACTGGGGGATGCTGGGAGTGGAAATCCTCCCCTCTTAAAGCATGCCGGCTGGGGGATTCTGGGAGTGGAAGTCCCACCTGTCTTAAAGTGACCATGTTGGATGAACCCTGGTGTACAAGGGTTTGAGCCTCTGAAAAACACGGAAATATCTGAGATTGGGTCAGCTTCCTCTATGGGGTCCTTTTCAAAGTACTACAAAGCCATTTTGCTATTTTAGTGGCAGTAATCTTAGCTACTCGCCTGCCCTTCTCCAGGCCTTAAGGAGAACTTTAAAAGGTCTCAGGCGATTTAGTAGGAAGCCATCTTAGCGAGTAATTATAATTTTGCAAATGAGGCTTGTTAATTCCTCTTGAGATTCCTTCCATGTGGAAGCTCCTGGCAACTTCGTGAGGATGTCGGCTTGGGAATTTAGCCCGGCCCATCCTAGCTTCGGAGGATCCTGCCATCTCCTTAGGAGGCTGGTAAATCCAGCAGATTCCAAAAATAGTGGTTGGTATAGAAGGTCTCCTGCTTTGAGCAGGGGGTTGGACTGGATGACCTCTGAGGTCTCTTCCAGCCATTGATTTTATTCCACTGTCCTAGTTTCTGTTCTGTCCTATTCTCCTATTCTATTCTATTCTCTGTTCAGTTCTTTTCTTTTCTGTATTCTATTTTTTTGCTATTCTGTTCAGTTCTCTTCTCTATTTTTTTCTCTTCTTCTATTCCATTCAGTTGTTTTCCATTCTTTTTCTATTCTGTATTCTATTCACTTCTATTTTCTGCTGTTTTCTTCTATTCTATTCTATTCTGTATTGTGTTCTGTGCTATTCTCTATTCCATTCCCTTTTCTATTCCATTCTGTGTTTTGTTCTTTTCTATTTTTTTTGTCTATTCATTTAGCAACGTGGCTAGAAAGATCATAAAATGGGACAGAATTCACGTAAGCAAATGTTTCGTTTCGCAATGGAAATTTTGGGCTGAACTGTGATGATTAAGGGAAGGATAATGGAATAAAAATAGATTTAATAAAAAAAATAAAAATACAGTAAATGGAATGAAATAAAAGTATAATATGGAAAAAATAAAAAATAAATAAAATAGAAAAATAACTCAAATAAAAAATACACAATATAAATAGAAAATAAAATATAGAATAAAATAGAAAAATAAGACTCAAATAAAAATACACAATATAAATAGAATAAAATAAAAGTATAATATAGAATAAAATAAAAAATAAATAAAATAGAAAAATAACTCAAATAAAAAATACACAATATAAATAGAATAAAATAAATATAGAAAATAGAAAATAAATAAAATAGAAAAATAAGACAAAAAATACACAATATAAATAGAAAAAATAGAATATAAATAGAATAAAAATAAAATATAAATCAAAGAAAATCAAACATAAAAAGAAAATAGAAAATAAATAAAATAAAAATAGAATTAAAAAGTATATAGAATATAAAAAATAAATAAAAAGTGAAAGAAAAATAAAATAAAAAATAAATAGAAATAGAAAAAATAGTATATAGAATAAAATAAAAAAGAAAATAAATAAAAATAGAATAAAAGAAAAAACAAAGAGGAGGAATAGAATGGTAATGGAACGGAAAAAAAATAAAAGAAATAAAACAAAATGGAATGAAATGAACTAAAATAAAATAATATAAAATAACGGAATGCAATAGAATGAGAATAGGAACGCAATCGAAATAAGAATAATGGAAGACAATAAAATAAAATGGAATAAAATGAACTAAAATTTAAAACAAAATATGAATTTTAAAATAATGGAATGGATAGAATGGAATGAAATAGAATGAAGAACAGAACAGAATAGAAAATATATGGAGTAGAGTAGTGGAATGGAATAAATAACATGGAATGGAATGAATTAAAATAAAATTTAAAATAAAATACAAAATGTTAAAATAAAATGGAACAGTATAGAATGAAGAATAAAATATAGAATTAGAGTAGAATAGAACAGAAAATGGGATGGGAGAGAAAATGGGACAGAATAGAATATAGAACTAGAATAGGAATAGAATAATGGAATGTAATAAAGAATAGAACACAATAGAGTAGAATAGAACAATGGAATGGAATAAAATAAATAAAATAAAATTTAAAATAAAATAATGGAACAGAATGGAATGAAGAATAGACTAGAATAGGAATAGAGAACAGAATAGAATATACAATATAGAATATAAATGTAAAATATAGAAGAGAATGCAGAATAGAGAATAGAATAACCGAATATAGAATATAGAGGATAAAAAATAGAATGCAGAAGAGAATAGCAGAATATAGAATATAAATATAAAATACAGAATAGAACGCAGAATAGAGAACAGAATAGAATAACAAAATATAGAATATAAAAAATAGAACAGCAGAATAGAATATAGAACATAAATAGAATGCAGAATAGAAATTGAATAGAATAAAATATAGAATATAGGATATAAAAAATAGAATAGAATGCAGAATAGAACAGAATAGAGTGCAGAATAGAATGCAGAATACAACAGAATAGAATGCAGAATAGAATACAATGTAGAATACAAAAAATAGAATAGAATGTGGAATAGAACAGAATAGAATGCAGAATAGAATAGAATGCAGAATAAGGAATGGAATAGAGTAGAGTAGAATAGAATAGAGAACAGAATAGAATAGAAAATATGAAATGGAAGAACAGAACAACAAAACAGAATAGGGAAAGGAAGAAAAAAAACAACAACACACCAGCCAGCTTTGAAACCAAGGGCAATTTATTTGCACAAAAAAAAATCTTTTCGGACCCTTCCCGTCCTTTCCAATTCCCCCCACCCCGAAGACTATTTACAAGACATTAAAAGCACATTATTTTTCCCTCGTTTGTGCAAACGCTCCGAGGCAGCCAGAGCCAAATTGCGAGGACTACACAAACCATACGCCTTCCCTCATCCGCCCAGGAAGTCGGTCCGGGGCCTCTTTTTTTACAAGACACAAGCAAGCTTCTTTGCAAATTCCACCCGGGTCGGCTGGAGAGATTTCGGGCAGCCCTCTCCGGCATCCGGAGAACAAACCAGCATTGCTGGCTTGAAATAAACCGAGGTAGCATTTTTGTGCCCCCCCTTCCGGGCCTGACGCAGACATCAAATGCAAAAGGCGACAAAGTGGACACTTACACAATACCCCTCCTGAAAAAAATTAGGATTTTTAATACTGATACGGGTGCCCAGTTTACACGTGTAACGCTAAGCCATCATTGAAAGCGTCCCAGAAAGGCCTGGGGCTTGTACTTTCCTTGGAATCAAGAGGTTGATGCCAGTTTCTCCTTAGCTGCCGCAGAAGAGTCATCTCAGTTTGATATGTGCAGCAATCTCAAGCCAACGTGGCTTAACCAAAGTTTGTGACAAACCAGGGTTTGCCTTACATGTGGATCCTGAATGAGCTAAGCCACCACTTGAGGTGCTCCAAATTGCAGTTAGAGTAGCATCCTCTGGTTTCGTGTTACACAAAACGGGGGCTACATACTCACACTCAAAAAAAAAGGAAGATTTCCCAGGCTTGGCTTAACCAGAGTTTGACACAAACTAGAATTAACTTGGATACAAATCCTGAATGAGGAGCTTAACCACAGTTGGAGCTTGTCTGAACTGCGGTTAGAGTAGCAAGCTCTGGTTTAGCGTTACTCAAAACCTAGACACATACCCACAGACAAAAAACCCTAGATTTCCAGGCTAGCACCCTGTTTGGCTTAAACCAGAGTTTGCGACAAACTAGAGTTAACTTCCAGGTGGATCCTGAGTTGGGACCTTAACCACAGTTGAAGCTTGTCTGAACTGTACTTAATAGTAGCAATCTCTGATTTAGCATAACACAAAACGCGGAGACATACCAACACATCCAAACCAAGATTTCCAGGCTAGTATCCTGTTTGGCTTAAACCAGAGTTTGCGACAAACTAGAGTTAACTTCCAGGTGGATCCTGAGTTGGGACCTTAACCACAGATGGAGCTTGTCTGAATTGTGCTTAAGAGTAGCAATCTCTGATTTAGTGTAACGCAAAACGTGGAGACATATACATCAAAATCAAGATTTCCAGGCTAGTATCCTATTTCGCTTAAACCAGAGTTTGCGACAAACTAGAGTTAACTTCCAGATGGATCCTAAATTAGCTTAGTTTGTCTGAATTGCAGTTAGAATAGACATCTCTGGTTTAATGTGAACACAAAATATGGATGCATGCCCACACAGGAAAAAAACAAAAAAAGCAAGATTTCCACTTGGATTAGCCATAGTTTGGGACAAACTTGGGTTTGTCTCAATTAGGAGCTTAACCACAGCTTGAGCTTGTCTGAATTGTGGCTTAGTGTTACACAAAACTCTGGTTTAATATTACACAAAACTCTGGTTTAGCGTTACACAAAACTGGATAGATATCCACCCCCCACACCCAGACAAAACAAAGCAAGATTTCCAAGCCAGCATCCGGCTTCTGCCTCCGATGTTGGCTTATGCCAAGGTTTCCTTCAAAATCGTTCAATTCCTGCTGTTTTTTTTCCTCCCACCCCCTTTTTCTCTTTTTCTAAATAACTTTTTGGGGATCCTGAATTAATCCGCAGCTTAACCACAGTTTGAAGCTGGTCTGCAATGGCAGCTAACCCACTTCTCGTGGAGCTAAACCACTTCTTGTGCAGTTAAAACCGATGCTAGTTATTGGAAAACCGAACTCGGCTTATACGGGGTGGGGAAGGCCTTTAGCTTCATCAGACTCTATTAAAAATACAGATAGATAAAGATTAAAAAAATAAAAAAAGCACCATTTTCAAAAATTCATTTTAAGACCACACCTTTTCCCACGCGTGGTCTCGAAACACGTCAAGAAAAGGCCCCGATTCGTGGCTAGGACGCTAACCGTCCTACCTGCCAGGGTCGGCGTTCTCCTTCGGCTCGAGGGGAACGGATCTGACCTGCCCACCCCAAAATGGGCGTCCGCCCCCCCCCACGTGTCCTTTGGAACACGCGAGGCCCCCCCCTCAAAGCTTCTTCAAGCGGCTGTAGTGCTCTCGTTTGCTCTTCTCGCCCGCCCAGGTGCGGCTCCGCGTGCGAAACCTGCGGAGGTCGTCCTTGAAGTCCTTGTGGTGCATCGGGCGGTAGCTCTGGGGCTCGCAGTAGGGCTGGAAAGCAAATATGTATGTATGTATGTATGTATGTATGTATGTAGGTCTTTGGTTATTCGGATTTTCTCCCGCGTAAAATTGGAATTTTATGCGGGAGAAAACCCGAATAACTAAAGACCTACATACAAACACCCGCGAAAACATCAGAAAACAAATACACACACACACACACACACACACACACACACACACACGTTGCTAACAAAGAATAAAGAGAGAACTGGTATAGCTATTTTGAGTTCCTTTAACTCTCTTCAGCCAGACTTACTCTTCTGAGATTCGAACCTGGGCTATCTGCATGTTAGGCAGTTGTTATAACCTCTAAGCCACAGGCTCTCTCTCGCTATTTATATTTATATTTATATCTATCTCTCCATCTATCTATCTATCCTATCTCTATCTCTCTATCTAATTATCTATCTATCCTATATCTATGTTTCTTTCTATATTTATATCTATCTATGTATCTATCTTATATCTATCTATCTATCTATCTATCTATCTATCTATCTATCTATCTATCTATCTAATTAATTATCTATCTATCTAATTATCTATCTATCCTATATCTATCTTTCTATATCTATCTATCTATCTGTCTGTCTGTCTATATCTATCTATCTCTATCTACCTATAGATATATCTTATCTATATCTGTCTATCTATCTTTCTATCTATAGATATATCTATCTCTATCTCTATTTAGATAGATCTATCTATCTATATCTATCCTCTCTCTCTAATTATCTATCTCTATGTATCCTATCTCTATCTCTATATCTCTCTATCACCTGTCTATCTCACCTGTCTATCTCTTCTCTATCTATCACCTGCCTGCCTATAGATATATATAGATACAGATAGATATATATAGATATAGATCTATCTGTCTGTCTATATACCGTAAATGCCGGCGTATAAGACGACTTCCGCAAGCGCTGAAATCGGCACCAAAGACGGGGGTTGTCTTATACGCCGAAAATATTGGTAGTTTCCGGCGTATAAGACGACGTTCTAGGAATGCGGCCCGGCTATAAAGACGGGGGTCGTCTTATACGCCGGGTCACCTAATACTGCGGCATATACGGTATCTCTCTATATATATCTAAATATATATATCTAATTCTCTCGATCTAGCTATCTATATATCTATCCATCCATATCTATATGTATCTACATATCTACCTATCTATCTATCTATCTATCTATCTATCTATCTATCTATCTATCTATCTATCTATCTACATCTATCTATCTATCTATCTATCTATATATCTATCTACATCTATCTATCTATCTATCTACATATATCTATCTACATCTATCTATCTATCTATCTACATCTATCTATCTATCTATCTATCTATCTATCTATCTATCTATCTATCTATCTATCTATCTATCTATCTATCTATCTATCTATCTATCTATCTATCTATCTATCTATCTATCTACCTACCTACCTACCTACCTACCTACCTACCTACCTACCTACCTACCTATCTGGAGAGAGGGAGGGAGGGAAGGAGATAGAGAGATAGAGATAGATAGAGAGAGAGAGAGAAAGAGAGAGATTTATATTTCCTACCTTGCATTTCAGAAAGAAGTCCTTGTAACCCCCTTTGAGGATGTAGAGCTCTGGGTAGTGCAGGCTGGGATACTGGTTGCCAAGCCGGTCTCGTTCCCGGACAAATCGGCACCTGACAGGGGGGAGGAAGAGATCAAACAAAGCCCCTCGCTCTTGACAGACAGACAGACAGACATGGATGGTGGCGACAGCCGAGAAGATCTTTCGGGCAGAAACCGGAGCAAAGGAGGAAGAGGAGCGGGATCGAATTCAAGCCCACAGGAGGCCCTTCCTCGGCTCAAGCGGCCCGCCAGCCTTCTTCTTCTTCGCAGAGGCGGAGGAGCATGGTCTTCGGGGTACTTACATGCGGGGGGCCCGCTCGGAGGAGAACTCGCAGTGGAAGACCACCACCACCCGCCGGCCGCCGGAGGAGGACGCGATGGGCGTCTTCAGCAGAAAGTCTTCCACGTCTTCCTCCAGGGGGAGGTTGACAGCGCCCTGGAGAGAGGAGCGGAGGGAGTGGTCGGAAAAAAAAGGAGACGGTTTGCGAGTGTGGCTTTTCGCCACGACAGCACAACGTCGAAGGCGAGCTGATCGGCGACGGAAGTTGGCCACACCCGGGGCCCTTTGGGGCTGTTTTGAGGGGTTGAGATTTCGAGGCTGGCCGTGGCTTCAAAAAAGCGACCCTTGGACTACATACATGTATACGCTAGACAGACAGACAGATGACATAGAGATAGATAAGCAAACAAAGATAGAGATGAGAGACAGATAGTCAGACATAGAGACAGACAGAGAAGATAGACACGCAGACAGGTGAGATAGATAGATAGATAGATAGATAGATAGATAGATAGATAGATAGATAGATAGATAGATAGATAGACAGACAGACAGATAGACAGACAGATGAGAGGAGAGGGGGTTGGGCAGGCAGATAGACATAGAGGTAGTCAGACAGATATGGAGATAGGGATAAATAGACAGACAGATAGATATGATAGTTGGATGGATGGATGGATTGATGGATAGCTAACGACAGATAAATATGGAGATGGATAAGAGAGATGGTAGATGATAGACAAACAAACAAACAAACAGATATATAGATATAGATAGCTATACAGAAAGATATATAGATACATAGATGATATACAGATAGACAAAGAAATATAGAGATATAGATAGATATATAGATGATATAGAGATAGATATAGAGAGATATAGATATACATAGATAGATGATATAGACAAACAGATATAGAGATAGATAGAAAGATAGAGATATAGATAGATGGTAGGTGATATAGAGATATAGATAGAAAGAGATACAGATATATAAAGAAAGAGATGATAGATAGAAGAGACAGAGATAGAGATAGATCAGAAAGATAGGACGGAGAGAAAGAGAGATAGATAGATAGGTATAGATAGATGGATGGATAAACAGATATAGAGATACATAGATAGATAGAGATAGATCAGACAGACAGATGGATAGGACACACAGAGAGAAAGAGATAGATAGATAGATAGATAGATAAACAGATATAGATATATAGAAAGATAGAGATATAGAGATACAAAGAAAGATATAGAGATACATAGAAAGATATAGATAGATAGATAGATAGATAGACAGACAGAGATATATAAAGAAAGAGAGATGATAGATAGAAGAGACAGATAGAGATAGATCAGACAGATAGGACAGAGAGAAAGAAATAGATAGATAGGTAGGTAGATAGGTATATATATAGATATAGAGATATATAAAGAAAGAGAGATGATAGATAGATAGAAGAGACAGATAGAGAGAGATAGATCAGACAGATAACACAGAGAGAAAGAGATAAGTAGGTAGGTAGGTAGGTAGATAAAGATAAATGGATGGATGGATAGAGAAACAGATATAGAGATACATAGATATACAGATATAGATAGATAGATAGATAGATAGACAGACAGACAGAGATATATAAAGAGAGATGATAGATAGAAGACAGATAGAGAGAGATCAGACAGATAGGACAGAGAGAAAGAAATAGATAGATAGATAGGTAGGTAGGTAGGTAGGTAGGTAGGTAGGTAAGTAGATAGGTATATATATAGATATAGATATATATAAAGAAAGAGAGATGATAGATAGATAGAAGAGACAGATAGAGAGAGATAGATCAGACAGATAAGACAGAGAGAGAGAAAGAGATAGGTAGGTAGGTAGGTAGATAAAGATAAATGGATGGATGGATAGAGAAACAGATATAGAAATACATAGAAAGAGATATAGAGATATAGATAGAGACAGAGACTTCACCTGGGAGAAAATAACCGAATGGGACAACGGAGTCCGGCTTCGTCTGTGAAGAGCATCTACAAGACACCACAGCCACAGCTGGCTGGTAGCAACCGATGGGCCGCATTTGGCCAAAAGAGCCGGCTCCCCACCCCTCCTCGTTCCAGAGGCTGAATCCTTGGGGCTGAGCTCCAGTGCCTCCCCCCCCTTTTTTTTTTACCTTGATGTGACCCCCTTCGTACTCATAGGGAAACCGGCAGTCGATGATCAGACACCGTTTCAGGGAGAGGGAGAAGCTGCCGTTCAGGACGGCCACGATCTGCGAAGAAAAGAGAGAAAGAAAGAAAGAAAGAAAGAAAGAAAGAAAGAAAGAAGAAAAGGGTTAGAGACAGCTTTGAACCGAGGGAGGCCAAATTAACTTGGGATTTCAAGTTGCAATCGCCAAGTTGGAAGGGACCTCGGAGGTCATCTAGTCCAACCCCCAGCTCGAGCAGGAGACCCTCACAGAATAGATTGGAGTTGGAAGGGACCTCGGAGGGCATCTAGTCCAACCCCCCTGCTCAAGCAAGCCTCCCTTACAAAACAATAGACTAGGAAGGGACCTTGGAGGTCATCTAGTCCAACCCCCAGCTCGAGCAGGAGATCCTCACAGAATAGATTGAGTTGGAAGGGACCTCGGAGGGCATCTAATCCAACCCCCTGCTCGAGCAGGAGACCCTTACAAAATAGACTAGGAAGGGACCTTGGAGGTCATCTAGTCCAACCCCCAGCTCGAGCCTTGGAGGTCAGTCCATCCTCACCTTGGAGAATAGATTGAGTTGGAAGGGACCTCGGAGGGCATCTAGTCCAACCCCCTGCTCAAGCAAGACTCCCTTACAAAACAGTAGACTAGGAAGGGACCTCGGAGGGCATCTAATCCAACCCCCTGCTCAAGCAGGAGACCCTTACAAAACAATAGACTAGGAAGGGACCTTGGAGGTCATCTAGTCCAACCCCCTGCTCAGTCCAGCAGGAGATCCTCACAGAATAGATTGAGTTGGAAGGGACCTCGGAGGGCATCTAGTCCAACCCCCTGCTCAAGCAAGACTCCCTTACAAAACAGTAGACTAGGAAGGGACCTCGGAGGGCATCTAATCCAACCCCCTGCTCAAGCAGGAGACCCTTACAAAACAATGAGACTAGGAAGGGACCTTGGAGGGCATCTAGTCCAACCCCCAGCTCGAGCAGGAGATCCCAACAGAATCACAGAGTTGGAAGGGACCTTGGAGGTCATCTAGTCCAACCGCCAGCTCAAGCCAGGAGACCCTCACAGAATAACAAGAGTTGGAAGGGACCTTGGAGGTCATCTAGTCCAGCCCCCTGCTCGAGCGGGAGGCCCTCTACCATTTCAGACAGTGACCCATCCAGTCACTTCTGAAAAAAACCTCCAGCGACGGAGCACCAACAACGTCTTGTGGCAAGCAGTTCCCCTGGTTAATTGCCGTCCCTTTCAGAAAAGCTCCCCCTATTTCTAGGTTGAATCTCTCCGTTGATCAGCTTCCATCCCTTGTTCCTTGTCTGGCCTTCAGGTGCTTTTGGAAAATCACACACACACACACACACACACACACACCCGCACGCTCGCCATCCTTTGGGGCCGACCCACAAACATCGGAACAGGGCTATGTTGTCACCCCACTCCTTCTTTCCCTCAAACTAAGACCTACCCAAATTTGGCTTTCCCCCCCCCTCTTCTCTACCACCGCCCCCCTCAAAATATTATCGTGTTCTCCATTTCATCAAATTAACTTAATTAGGGGAAACGAACGCAGCCGGATCCGGGCGACCGCCTTCCTTCCTTTTTTTTTTTTTTTTTTAAAAAGAGCCAAGAAAAGTCAAGAAACACGTTGCCTAGAATCCCAGGCGTCCCCGTACCATTTCCGGATCGATGTATTTCAGATCCTGGTGTTTGCCGTCGACGGTGTGGAACAGGTAAGCCTGCCGAGACACGACAAAATAAATAAATAAATAGATAAATTGTTGCTTGGAGGGAAACACAGATACAACAAAATAAATACACGCATAAGTAAATAAATAAATAAATAAATAAAATAACCGCTTGGAGGGAAAACACAGACAGACCCTGCCTGGCGCAGGCTGCAAAGAGGCCAGTTCTTTATTATTATTATTGATTGATTGATCATCGCACAGTCAGTCAGATGTTCAGACGGGATTTGGCCTTTTGTCTACCTATCGAGTCCTTACCCAGGACCTGGGATAGGCAGATATTATTATTATATAATAATAATAATAATAATAATAATAATAATAATAATAATATGGATCATCGCACAGTCAGCCAGATGTTCAGACTGGATTTGGCCTTTTGTCTACCTATCGAGTCCTTACCCAGGACCTGGGATAGGCAGATGTGGATGTTTGATGATGATGATTATGATGATGATGATGATTATTATTATGGACATCACAGTCAGCCAGATGTTCAGACTGGATTTGGCATTTTGTCTACCCATCGAATCCTTACCCAGGACCTGGGATAGGCAGATGTGGATGTTTGATGGTATTACAGGTATCGTCGCAGGATGGAAGCAGTTCCTAGTAAGGCTGCCTTTTGCAATTGACTAATAGCGAATTTGTCAATGCCGATAATGGTGTTCAAGTGGTGCTCCAGTTATTTTGGGATTGCACCCAAGGAGCCTATGACTATTGGTCCTACCCTTGCTTGCCTTTGCCACAGTCTTTCTATTTCTATTTGTAGGTCTTTGTATTTTGTTGTTGTTGTTGTTGTTATTATTATTATGGATCATCGCACAGCCAGATGTTCAGACTGGATTTGGCATTTTGTCTACCTATCGAGTCGTCGTCATCATCATCATCATCGTTATTATTATTATTTTCCGAGCAACTCGGACAAGTTTGAGAGGTTCGGGAGAAAGCAAGGAAAGGGAGCAATTTTTTTTACCTTTGAGAAATCTCCAATCAGGTCTCTCTGGTCCCGGTCCAAAACGTTGCCGATCTCCAAAGAGGAAGAGGAGGGACTCTGCCACGGATGAAATCAACCAGGAAAGGGAAGGAAAGGAAAGTTAAGCAGCTGAAAGCAGAGCCTGTTTTTCATTCTGTTCGATATTCTATAGCAGGGGTTCTTCAAACTGGGCCCTTTTATGTCTTGGGGACTTCAACTGTCTGTCTATCTATCCTATCTGTCCTATCTATCTATCTGGTCTGTCTGTCCTATCCTATCCTAGTTCTCTGTCCTATCTCTCTATCCATCCATCTCTGTCCTATCTATCTACCCTATGTCTGTCCTATCTATCTATCTATCTATCTATCCTTCCATCCATATCCTATCTGTTTGTCCTATCTCTCTATCCATCCATCCATCCATCCATATCCTATCTCTCTGTCCTATCTATCTATCCCTCCATCCATCCATCCATATCCTATCTCTCTGTCCTATCTATCTATCCCTCTATCCATCCATCCATATCCTCTCTGTCCTATCTATCTATCCATCCATCCATCCATCCATCCATATCCTATCTCTCTGTCCTATCTCTCTATCCATATCCTATCTCTCTGTCCTATCTATCTATCCATCCATCCATATCCTATCTCTCTATCCATCCATATCCTATCTCTGTCCTATCTGTCTGTCCAATCTATCTATCTATTCATCCATCCATCCATCCATATCCTATCTCTCTGTCCTATCTATCTATCCATCCATCCATATCCTATCTCTGTCCTCTCTGTCTGTCCAATCTATCTATCTATTCATCCATCCATCCATATCCTATCTCTGTCCTATCTATCTACCCTATGTCTGTCCTTCCTATCTATCTATCTATCTATCTATCTATCTATCTATCTATCTATCTATCCCTACCTACCCACCCTCTGTCCTATCTATCTATCATTTATCCATCCATTCATATCAGTCTATCTCCCTATCCATATCATCTCTATCATCTGTCTCTATTCCCCCCTCTCCCTTTCTCCATGTCTGTCTGTCTGTCTGTATTACCTATCCCTAGCATATCTCTCTCTCTCTCCCTCTCCCCCCCCTCTCTCTCTCTCCCTCCATCCATCCATCCATCATCTCTCTGTGTGAAAACTGGTCCCAAGTCACATTTTTCAGGCTTCTTATCTCAACGTATGATTTCTAAATAGAGGAGTAGTTGCATTCTCCTCCTCTCCTCTCCCCCCCCCTTCAAACCTCCACCCATCATTTGACTGGCTCTGCCTCTTCTATTCCCATTCAGCCTTCTCCCTACCCCTGGCAGAGCAAGTAACAGCTGGAAGGGACCTTAGAGGTCTTCCAGTCCAACCTCCTGCTCAGGCAGGAGACCCTGACGGAACCAGAGAAGGACAGAGTTAGAAGGGAGCCTGGAGGTCATCTAGTCCAGCCCCCAGCTCAAGCAGGAGACCCTGACAGAATCAGAGGACAGAGTTAGAAGGGAGCCTGGAGGTCATCTAGTCCAGCCCCCTGCTCAAGCAGGAGACCCTGACAGAATCAGAGGAGAGTTAGAAGGGAGCCTGGAGGTCATCTAGTCCAGCCCCCTGCTCAACAGAAGACCCTGACAGAATCAGAGGAGAGTTAGAAGGGACCCTGGAGGTCATCTAGTCCAACCCCCTGCTCAGGCAGGAGATCCTGACAGAATCAGAGGAGGACAGAGTTGGAAGGAACCCTGGAAGTCATCTAGCCCTACCCCCTGCTCAGGCAAGAGACCCTGACAGAATCAGAGAAGACCAGAGTTAGAAGGGAGCCTGGAGGTCATCTAGTCCAGCCCCCTGCTCAGGCAGGAGTCCCTGACAGAATCAGAGGACAGACTTAGAAGGGAGCCTGGAGGTCATCTAGTCCAACCCCCTGCTCAGGCAGGAGACCCTGACAGAATCAGAGAAGGACAGAGTTAGAAGGGAGCCTGGAGGTCATCTAGTCCAGCCCCCTGCTCAAGCAGGAGACCCTGACAGAATCAGAGGAGAGTTAGAAGGGAGCCTGGAGGTCATCTAGTCCAGCCCCCTGCTCAACAGAAGACCCTGACAGAATCAGAGGAGAGTTAGAAGGGACCCTGGAGGTCATCTAGCCCTACCCCCTGCTCAGGCAGGAGACCCTGACAGAATCAGAGAAGGACAGAGTTAGAAGGGAGCCTGGAGGTCATCTAGTCCAACCCCCTGCTCAACAGGAGACTCTGACAGAATTAGAGAAGGACAGTTAGAAGGGAGCCTGGAGGTCATCTAGTCCAGCCCTCTGCTCAAGCAGGAAACCTTGACAAAATTAGAGAAGGACAGAAGGGACCCTGGAGGTCATCTAGCCCAACCTCCTGCTCAAGCAGGAGACCCTGACAGAATCAGAGGACAGAGTTAGAAGGGAGCCTGGAGGTCATCTAGTCCAGCCCCCTGCTCAAGCAGGAGACCTTGACAGAATCAGAGAAGGACAGAGTTAGAAGGGACCCTGGAGGTCATCTAGCCCTACCCCCTGCTCAAGCAGGAGACCCTGACAGAATTAGAGAAGGACAGAGTTAGAAGGGAGCCTGGAGATCATCTAGTCCAGCCCCCTGCTTAGGCAGGAGACCCTGACAGGGATCACAGAATGACAAGAGTTGGAAGGTGCCCTGGAGGTCATCTAGTCCAACCCCCTGCTCAGGCAGGAGATCCTGACAGAATCACAGAATCGGAAGGGACCTTGGAGGTCATCCAGTCCAACCCGCCTGCTCAAGCAGGAGAGATCCTATCCCATTTGAGACAAACGTCCGTCCGATCTCTTCTTCTTCAACCCCTTCAGCGACGAAGCCCCCACAAACGTCTGGTGGCCTGGAGTTCCACCGATTAAATTGTCCTCACTCTTAGGAAATCCCTCCTTCGTTCTAGGTTGCTTCTCTCCTTGAGGAGTTACCCTCCGTTGTTTCTCGTCCTGCCTTCGGGCGCTTTGGAGAAGAGCTTGACTCCCTCTTCTTTGGGGCAGCCCCTGAGATGCTAGAAGCCTGCTATCCTGTGCCCCCTCATCCTTCTCTTCCTTAAACTAGATCAGTGGTTCTCCACCTGTGGGTCGGGACCCCATTTGGGGTGGAACGACCATTTCACGGCGGTCCCCAAACAACGCAGTCCGCCATTTTTTCCCCCCTTTTCCTTAGCTGGGCTACTCCCTTTTATTCTATGGGCTGTTGAAAGCCAATAGAAGAGACTCTCTTGATTAGGAATTGTCCAGGCTGTCTCTGCCCTGCTGAGCCCTCCAAAAGTCCCATTCTGCAAATGGTGCTGCACCAGTTGAGTAGTCCTTGACTTATGACCGGTTGAGTAGTCCTCGACTTACGACCGGTTGGGGGGTCGCAGCATTAAAAAGGTTGAGAACCACTGAACTAGACAGACCCAACTCCAGCCACCGTTCCTTGTATGCTTTCGCCTCTGGTCCCCTGATCATCTTTGCGGCTTCTTCTCCTTCCTTCCAGGGCTCCAGAATATAGTTTCACGCACACACGTGTGCGCACGCATGCCCACTCCTTTTCTTTGGGGCAGCCCTCCCCAATGTGGGAGGACCCCCCCTTCTCAAAGTCCTTCTTTTTGCTAGGCCAGTGGTTCTCAACCTTTTTAATGCCCCGACCCCCAACCGGTCGTAAGTCGAGGACTACTCCACCGGTCGTAAGTCGAGGACTATTCAACTGGTGCAGCACCGTTTGCAAAACGGGACTTTTGGCGGGCTCAGCAGGGCAGAGACAGCCTGGACCATTCCTATTGGCTTTGGAAAGCCAATCGAATTAGACTCTATTCAAGAGAGTCTCTTCCATTGGCTTTCAAAAGCCAATAGAATAAAAGGGAGGAGCACAGCTAAGGAAAAGGGGGGGGGGGAAAAATGGCGGACTGCGTTGTTTGGCGACCCCCGTGAAATGGTCGTTCGACCCCAAATGGGGTCCCGACCCACAGGTGGAGAACCACTGTGCTAGGCTAAACAGACCCCATTCCCTCCACCGCGCTTCATACGTTTTTTAATCTGCCGTCCCTCTTTAATTATCGCTCTTCCTCTTCCTCGATGTGTCACCCCCCCACACCGCTCCTACAAAAGGCTTCTACAGAAGATTGAAGGGGACGCTTCGCAGAGCAAGCGAGCGCCGTCCCTGTGGTTCGGCGGTCCGGGGCAAATCGGAGGGGGGGGGGATGTCTTTGCGTCCGGCTACCAACCGTGGCTTCTTCGGCGAGTCCCGTGTGGGTGTTCCTCCGCCGTTTGCTGAAGGCCGGGACGAGGCTCTCTTCGGCGGCCTTCTCCGTCCGTTTGTGGGTCGTCCTAGTCTGGCTGCCCGTGGCCTTCTCTGCGCTGCCCAATTGGGGAGGCTGGCTCTGGGTGGAAGCCAAAGCCAAAGCCCCCGTCATATTATTATTATTATTACTATTATTATTTTTAGATGGCGTTTGTGGAAGCCGCCTGGAGTCGCGATGGGCGAGTAGGCGGCAATGTACGATTTCAAAAGGGAAGGGAAGGGAAGGGAAGAAGGAAAGGGAACGAAGGGGGAAAGGAAGGGGAAGAGAAGAAGGAAAGGGAAAGGGAAGAAAAGGGAAAAACGAAGGAGAAAGAGGGAGGAGGGAGGGAGGGAGGAAGAAAGGAAGGTGAAGGGAATGGAAAGGAAGCTTGAATCCTACAAAGGAACATTAGAAAATAAAATAAAAGAAAACAATAAATAGAATAGAACATACTAGACTAGACTATATAGAATATAGAATAGAACAGAGAAATTAATAGAATAGAATAAAACAGAATATAGAAATTAATAGAATAAGAATAGAATATAGAATAGAATATAGAAATTAGAATAGAATAGAACAGGAATTAGATTAGTATATAGAAATTAGAATAGAATAGCATATAGAAATTAGAATATAGAAATTAGAATAGAATAGCATATAGAAATTAGAATAGAATAGAATATAGAAATTAGATTAGAATATAGAAAATAGAATTGAATAGAATATAAATTAAAATAGAATAGCATATAGAAATTAGAATAGAATAGAATATAGAAATTAGATTAGAATATAGAAAGATTAGAATATAGAAATTAGAAAAGAATAGCATATAGAAATTAGAAAAGAATAGAATATAGAAATTAGATTAGAATATAGAAAATAGAATTGAATAGAATATAAATTAAAATAGAATAGCATATAGAAATTAGAATAGAATAGAATATAGAAATTAGATTAGAATATAGAAAGATTAGAATATAGAAATTAGAAAAGAATAGCATATAGAAATTAGAAAAGAATAGAATATAGAAATTAGATTAGAATATAGAAAATAGAATTGAATAGAATATAAATTAAAATAGAATAGCATATAGAAATTAGAATAGAATAGAATATAGAAATTAGATTAGAATATAGAAAGATTAGAATATAGAAATTAGAAAAGAATAGCATATAGAAATTAGAATAGAATATAGAAATTAGATTAGAATATAGAAAATAGAATTGAATAGAATATAAATTAAAATAGAATAGCATATAGAAATTAGAATAGAATAGAATATAGAAATTAGATTAGAATATAGAAAGATTAGAATATAGAAATTAGAAAAGAATAGCATATAGAAATTAGAAAAGAATAGAATATAGAAATTAGATTAGAATATAGAAAATAGAATTGAATAGAATATAAATTAAAATAGAATAGCATATAGAAATTAGAATAGAATAGAATATAGAAATTAGATTAGAATATAGAAAGATTAGAATATAGAAATTAGAAAAGAATAGCATATAGAAATTAGAAAAGAATAGAATATAGAAATTAGATTAGAATATAGAAAATAGAATTGAATAGAATATAAATTAAAATAGAATAGCGTATAGAAATTAGAATAGAATAGAATATAGAAATTAGATTAGAATATAGAAAGATTAGAATATAGAAATTAGAAAAGAATAGCATATAGAAATTAGATTAGAATATAGAAAGATTAGAATATAGAAATTAGAAAAGAATAGCATATAGAAATTAGAATAGAATAGAATATGGAAATTAGATTAGAATATAGAAATTAGATTAGAATATAGAAATTAGATTAGAATATAGAAATTAGATTAGAATATAGAAATTAGAAAAGAATAGCATATAGAAATTAGAATAGAATAGAATATAGAAATTAGATTAGAATATAGAAAATAGAATTGAATAGAATATAAATTAAAATAGAATAGCGTATAGAAATTAGAATAGAATAGAATATAGAAATTAGATTAGAATATAGAAAGATTAGAATATAGAAATTAGAAAAGAATAGCATATAGAAATTAGAATAGAATAGAATATGGAAATTAGATTAGAATATAGAAATTAGATTAGAATATAGAAATTAGATTAGAATATAGAAATTAGAAAAGAATAGCATATAGAAATTAGAATAGAATAGAATATAGAAATTAGATTAGAATATAGAAAATAGAATTGAATAGAATATAAATTAAAATAGAATAGCGTATAGAAATTAGAATAGAATAGAATATAGAAATTAGATTAGAATATAGAAAGATTAGAATATAGAAATTAGAAAAGAATAGCATATAGAAATTAGAATAGAATAGAATATAGAAATTAGATTAGAATATAGAAATATCAACAAGATATGCAGATACCACCACTCTAATGGCAGAAAGTGAAGAGGAACTAAAGAGCCTCTTGATGCGGGTGAAGAAGGAGAGTGCAAAAGTAGGCTTGAAACTCAACATTAAGAAAACCAAAATCATGGCATTCGGCCCTCTCAATTCCTGGCAAATAGATGGGGAAGAAATGGAGGTAGTGACAGATTTTATTTTTCTGGGCTCTAAGATCACCTCAGATGGGGACTGCAGCCAAGAAATTAAAAGACGCTTGCTCCTGGGGAGGAAAGCTATGGCAAATCTAGACAGCATTCTAAAAAGCAGAGACATCACCCTGCCAACAAAAGTGCGTATAGTCCAGGCCATGGTTTTCCCAGTTGCAATGTATGGCTGTGAAAGTTGGACCACAAGAAAGGCTGAGCGCCAAAGAATGGAGGCCTTTGAATTATGGTGCTGGAGAAGACTCCTGCGAGTCCCTTGGACTGCAAGGCGTTCAAACCGGTCAGTCCTAGAAGAGATCAACCCCGACTGCTCTTTAGAAGGCCAGATCCTGAAGTTGAAACTCCAATACTTTGGCCACCTAATGAGAAGGAAGGACTCACTGGAGAAGGGACTAATGCTGGGAAAGATGGAGGGCAATAGAAGAAGGGGACGACAGAGAAGGAGGTGGCTGGATGGAGTCACTGAAGCAGGAGGCGTGAACTTAAATGGACTCCAGAAGATGGTAGAGGACAGGAAGACCTGGAGGAACGTTGTCCATGGGGTCGCGATGGGTCGGACACGACTTCGCAATTAACAACAACAACAAATAGAAATTAGAATAGAATATAGAAATTAGAATAGGATAGAATAGCATATAGAAATTAGAATAGAATATAGAATACAATAGAATAGAAAATAGGATAGAAAATAGAATACAATAGAATATAGGATAGAAAATAGAATACAATAGAACAGAGTTGGAAGGGACCTTGTAGGTCATCTAGTCCTACCCCCTTGCCCGAGCCAGAAGCCAAGGGACCCCACGACGTGGAAGACTTTTTGCTGAAAAAAAGCCGCCTGTCCCAGCGAGTTCTCCTCCGTACGCCGCCCCCCTCCCAGATGGAAGTAGCCCAAAGACCCCGCTCCTCCTCTCCTTTGGCGAAGGCTCCTTCGTGGGCTTACGACGAGCCCAGGAAGAGGAGGAGTCCGGTCCGTCCTAATCTGGCTCCTGCAGTTATATCCCGCTCCCGCTCCTCCTTTACTCAGTTCTCCTTCTCCGTCCTGCGCTGATGACGTTACCTAGTTTGTGGAGCAAGACGTCTGCTTGCTGGAAAGCAGCCACAGTCACTCAGCACCGAGGGAGGGAAAGAGGGAGGGAGGGAGGGAGGGAGGGAGGGAGGGAGGGAGAAAGAAAG